ATTATTTATTTGCTCATCGAAGTCAGACTCGCGCTCGGCAGTAGCAAGTATAGCGCCATGGAGCTCGACCTACTTAGCCTTAGACTCTTGAAGTTGTCCGTGTAATTGAGTGGCTTCTTGGTTGTGGGCAATTTTGTCCCTTTCGCTTTGCTGCAATCGGGCCTCAAGCTCGCCCATCTCAGTAGCTTTTGCCTCCAACACTGGGAGGTGCGCAACAAGTTAGTTCCTTTCGGCCAACAGTTGATCCTACTCAGAAGCGAGTCCTTGCTTATCAAGGATCAATCTCTGCATGCAGGCTTTTAGAAGCAAGAAAGTTAGTCGGTAAAAAAGAATAGGATTTCCGTTGTAGCAGGTAAATAGAAAAGAATTTATAAGAACAATTACGCTACGTGTTCCGCACTGTGCATGGCATTGTTTATAAAGCACTCCCCAGAAAAGGAGCACATTTTCTTCAAATCATTCTCCGAACCCAACTACTTAAGATAAGTTGCATGCTCCACTGACTTGGATAAAAGATGGCACTCTTTCGAAACTGAAAGAGTATCGATTCTCCCCTCTTGAGGATCTGGGGAGGGGTTGAATAATTGTGCCCCAAATTCCCATAGTTGGGGGAGAAGATGCAGTTAGTACTAGCGGCAAAGGAGCAACCACTGTCGATGGACGTTAAGTTGTTGGCGTGGATGGATGAGAAGCAACTACGACATGGACATTGCTGATTGTTATTTGCTCAGTAGTCGAAGGCAGAAGAGACCTAGGGTCTGAACTCCTTGGACTAGAGACATCACTGGGGAATAGAAAGCGAGAATCGACATTATCTACCAGGTCAAGTGCTGGGATTTCTTTTGTGGTCAGGTTTTGAAGCTCTCCCGGTTGAGCCTCCGGTTGAGCTGATGAAGATGTTTTTCTCCTTTGAAAGGTATCCTCTTCATCACTAGCTTCCCATTCATCATCGAGGACCACTATGACTGTGGCTGACTCGGTCGGTATTTTCTTTATGTTCTTATTTTGATTCCCAGCCAAGGTAAGCGTCGTCTTTTTGGTTGCTTGTTCTCGATTTGGGGACTCCAAAAAGTGGCACCCTCACCGGAAGCAGATCCGTGAGCTCTGCTTCGGGCAAGGGAACATTTTCATGAAGTTACCTATGTTCGTACAAAGATAAAAGGAAGAAGGACTCGGTTTACCATGATTTGTTTCCTTTCACTCGTATCTGGGGGCCATTTCCTTCCACCGACGGAATTCTGATATCGTGATTAGCAAAATTTTCTGAACCCACTGGTCCAGGTCTTGAACCCGTGGTGGTTCCCATTTGGTAGCTGAAACAGAATAAATAAAAAGACGAGCAACAAATAATTTTTTCATGGGGGAAGAAAATGAATAATCGAAAACTTATGAAAGCAATTTTACGACTCAAGAAAAGACAGAGTTGTGGCCGGGATGATGTACCTGGTAGCAATGATGATAAATCGCTCCATTCACCTGCGATCGTTGTCATCATTCACACTGGTAAGAAGAACGTGGTGGCCACAAATGCTGAAGTTTATTACCCTCCCACGCAAAACTTTGGGAGAGTAAAGATTTATCATGTGGGCAAGAGTTAGGATTTTCTCGGTCTACGTACAAAGTTAGCGAAGGCCAACCACTATTCGCCATATAGATGGGCTACTTATGCTAAGCAGATCTAGTACTGGTGGTAAAACTCCAAAATTATGGGGTCAAGCCCTTCATTCGACCCTAGGGAGAATGAACCCAAGGTAAAGGGATACGTATATACATACATAAAACCCTCCTTGGTGAAGGTAACCCACTCTATCATATCCGGGGCAAGAATTTCAAAATTAGGGCAGTTGCAGTCCTCCTTCATAGTTGGGATACTAGAAGGGCGAATGGAGGAGAGATACCTACTAACAGGCCAAGTTCGTAAAGATACAAAAATGGCCTTCTCTTGAAAGTTGTTAGCAGTACTAATTTGTTGTGGTATGATGGTGCTTACAGTGGGAGGTTTAGAATCGACATCGGCTTCTTTGTCTTTTTTTGACCTCCACCAAAAAGAAGACCAGAGTTTCTAAAGAGTGCAGTGAAAGAAGACATGGTAATAAAGGATCAGTAAAACTTTTGCTAAGAGATTTTTTCTAAGCAGATGCAATGAGGAAGAAAGGCTTATGAAAATTTTGGAAGTAAAGAAGTAAAAATAATGAGTAGAAGTAGGACTGTTCATTCGGATCGGATATCCGAAATCCGAACCGATCTATTCAATTTCAGATTTCGGATTTCAGATTGGATCGGATTTCAGATTCTGTTTATTAAAATTTTGGATTTCTGATCGGATTCAGATTGGTATATTTTAATCCGATCCGAAATTATTAGGGCATGTAAAAATACTACACTTTAATTTCGGATAGTCAGTACTTCCTTTACATCAACCTCCAAGAAATTATCTTTACAATTGCTAAATTTAGCTATATTAGCACCATAGTACTCTCACCGTTGCGTAAACATTAATTTTCTTAATGTATTACCTATTTTACAAAGAAAATATACATATTAGTTTAAATTTGAGGCATAATGATACGATTCGAAATCCGATCCGATCCGATATAATTCGAATCAGATTCAGATTGCATTTTCTAGAATCTGAAATCCGAAATTCGAATCTGAAATGTGCTAAATCCGATCCGTGCACAACCCTAAGTAGAAGGAAAGTTATAGACGGCAAAAATCGTGGTCATGATTACCTCGAAAACCGGAAAAATATTTGATGAATCATTGGGCAACACGTGTTCGGGGTATTAAATGCGAGAAGACGTACCTTTCAAGCATCGAAGACTGTTCATGAACTTTCCCGCCAGGAAGAGAATCTTCATCAACTTCCCAGTAATACGAAGATATGTCATCAAAAAATAGGGGGGGCTATCTGTATGAGGTAAAATTAGTTTATAACAAATAGTTGAATGGTAACATGACATGTAGAACCGACCAGTAACGACCAATACCAGATACAACAAATGCAACCGACATCGGGTAAATCTCGAATGGAGCGTAGTCTAACGGGAGAAGATCAAATATTGCCCATCGGATAACATTCAATGAGGGAATATTCTATAACATTAAATGAGCAACCGTTACAGAGAATATTTGCATTCAGGGCATGCCGTTTACATGTTCATCAATGACTCTTTTATTATCATTTAAGAGGAGTTTAACCATAGGATCTTGTTTCTCTGCGTAAAATTATAAGCCATTGTAGACACGAAATAATTTCTGCATACTAAAGCTTTATTTTGTTACTTTTGCTCTCAATTTTACAACTTTGCTTAAACTTGATCGTTATTCTCATTTTTGCTCTCGAAGATATTACGTTCGGAGTCATGTTTGTCATCTTCTTCAATTTCAATTACTAATCTTAATATTTATTTTATCTCTTTATCTTCCTTTGGATCAAATTAATTTGCTGGTCTATTAACCACATAACAAATGCAACTGTATTGTTTTACGAGTAAATAATATATATAGTAGATGAAATCTTTTGGTGAAAATTTGATACTCACACCCTCGCTAATCTGATAAACAATGTTCAAATCTAATTTTGGCTTATATGATATTAGATGATGGCTCAATCACTTTGACAGTTGAACCCGAACACATCCGCATGACTGTGGATGAGAGAAATCCCATTTAGTAATGACTAACAAAAGTTAATTTCCCTTTCCCTCTTCTGTACCTTGCTCCGATAGGACTACCTAGACTATAAACAAAATTATTTGGTCATTCTGATTTGTGCAGTTGTACAAATTAAAGAGGAATATGAAATTATGAACTGAAGAAGTTAATTAGCAGGTTATGCCAATTATCATGAATACGAAAATCATCACTCTCCTCCATCTCAGAAATGTTCGACAAGGTTGCTAATTAGGCAAGCACCTCCAAGGAAACCTTGCCAATTTCTGATAATCTCCTGAGGAAGAGAAAAAATAATAAAACAAGAATTTGAAATAAAGTTGGAAATATACGGTAAAAACGGTTCTTTGTATGAAGCCTAAGAAAAGATGAGGAGGAGAATGAGATATGATGAAGAGTTGAAGGATGATCAGGTCATCACAAAAATTTCTGTAATTGATCAAGAGTCGAGATTTAATTATGTTATTGTTGCTATTTAAGAGTCTAAAGACACAAAAAATATCAAGAGTTTATATGGGGTGACCCTGAAATCTTAGGGCATTGAAGTGAAAAACAAAACCATTAATGCTGAAAATTCTACAAATTTAATTCTTGTAAAAACAAACATTATGGAATTGATAGTGCATATATGTTATTATTCTGGACCAAGACTATTTAATTGCTCTTTCTGAAAATTGGAATGGCTATTTTAGTTGTTAACTATACCTTTCTTTGAGATTTACACAAAAAAATATTCTTTAATTTTCCTGTGAAATATTTATTATTTGTTAATAAATCTAAAGCATGTGCCGTTGTCTTTTTCATATTGGGTCTTAGTGCTCAACCACTGAGCTGTACCTCTCCAACCTTATACTAGTAAGTTTTACCACCCAAGCCCATGTCACGTATTTTTCGCTTTGGCCCAATAGACCTCGTTGATTTGTCCCTTGGGTTACCACTATCATCGAGTTTAAAAGCGCGTATGCCATATGAACTTGTGTTATGTTTTATAAAACTCTTTACTTTCATCTTTCATTTCGATGTAGAATTCGCCTAGTGTATCATGTACACATCTTCCAGAAGTTTACCAGTCTAAAAGCATGTCAGTCCTTCTCTTTGACCCGCTGTCATCGGCCCACCCTCCGTTATGGTGTCACAGTAAGAGTACCTAATACCAGTTAAGTACTAGCAAAATAGAGAAGAATATCTAGTCTTTGAGATAAAGCACTCTCAAAGTGATTTGGAAGTCAAGCTTGTAATTCTTTGCTTATAGGACTGAACCTTTCAAACCATAGGATATTGGCTAAATTTAATTTTTCAATAGTGTTCTGCTTTATGAGACCAATGAGAGGAGACATCTGCTAGTACAAATCCATTCAACTTACTCTCCATGCCTAAATATCTCAATAATGTAACAAACATAAGTGTCAAATGTGGCTCTTGCAACACTTAAACGACAATCTAAAGTCTAAAACTATGTTACTTCATCCTTCTGGCAGAATAAGCAATCACAGAACTTATCATTTAGAGCTGGTTTTTAGTCTGCATATATACAGAGGTAACATTTCTCAATTTAGTTACTTTAGTGAATTGAAGTATAAAATGAACCTTGACCCCACTTAACTGATCAACAGAACTACATAAATCAACCTTTTGGTTTCAAGTTTCTCTATAAATGGAAGAGTCTGCAATGCATTTGGTGTCCAAGAAACCAAATAGACCAGAAAATGAAGCATTTACTTGGTTGTGCTATCTCAATGGAAAAGCATAAAGCCAATATAGCCATGCTCCTCACACAAATGTTTTTTGCAGGCATGGCTTTGTTTTCTAAAGCTGCAATATCTGAAGGCATGAACCCTTATGTATTTGTTACTTATCGTCAAGCATTTGCTGTCCTCGCGTTGGCCCCACTCGCTGCCTTCTTCGAGAGGTTAATTTGTCCAACAATTTGTCTATCTCTTACTATGTCCATTTCATATTTGTGAGCTTAATTATTGAGTTATAACAACTATTATATGTTCATTTTTTTCAATTAAATAGAAAGACTCTGGTTCTTTTATCCTACAACATCCTGTTGAAGATCTTACTGATGTCATTTCTTAGGTAAGTTCACTCTTAAATATTCAACTTCTTGAGCTATTGTTTGTAAATTTCTTTAGCCTCACTTGATTAATTATGTGATATTTTCAGCACTCTAAGTTTGAATCTCTACTACTTCTCCATACACTATACAACAGCAACCTTTGCTGCAGCCACCACTAACATAATTCCATCCATAACTTTTGTTATGGCAGTTATCCTAAGGTAGCTATACTTAAAAATAAAAATTACCTGAGCAGCCTTAATTATATTGAGGATAAAAGGAAGCATATTAGCTAATAATCTGTCCTTTTTTTCTTTGTTTCAATCAAATATATAGGGTGGAGACTCTATCAATAAAGCAGTCACATGGAATGGCAAAAGTCTTGGGTTCTTCAGTTTGTGTTTCAGGAGCTTTGGTGTTTGCCCTAGTTAAAGGGCCACATTTTAACTTCATGAACTGGTCTATGGGGAAAACAAAGGGAGCTCATACCTCAAATTTTCATTATACTTTGAAGGAAGAATGGATAAAAGGTTCACTAGTCATGCTTTTGGCTAACATAATATGGTCTCTGTGGCTCATTTTACAGGTAATTCTTCAGCCACATCCTTGTGTTTAAATTGAAAAATTTGGAAAAAAGAATTACAATATGTTGATTAATTGACACATATTGCTTCTCTTAGGTCCCTATTATAAAACAATATTCGGCAAAGCTACGTCTTGCCACCCTATACTGTTTGTTTAGCTGCATACAATCATCAGTTTGGGCAATGGCAATGGAAAGGAACATATCAGCATGGAAGCTCAAATGGGACATCAATCTTTTTTCAGTGGCTTACTGTGTATGTTTTCTCATACACATACAATCTCCTATATTGAGACTACTTCTTATGAGTTTAACTTCTATACAACTTACAGTTGAAAACGATTTTTATACTATCAAGTCACCTAAAAGTTAAATACAAGTAACCGTTTAAACATGAAAAATAAGGCAAGTAACCTGCTCCAACGAGTTAAAAAACTATTGTTTTATAATTAATACAGCAAAAAATATTGCAGGGTGTGATTGTTACAGGCATAACATACTGGTTGCAGCTTTGGGCAGTAGAGAAGAAAGGACCAGTATTCACAGCCATGTTCACTCCATTAGCACTTATCATAACTGCTATAGTGTCAGCATTTTTGTGGAAGGAGACACTTTATATGGGAAGGTCCATAATCATATGTTATCCTTCTAATTTCAACATTAGTTATTCTTCCCTTTAATTTCCTCAGTAACTTAAACTTCAAAAGCTCAATTTCAGTACTTTTGTTTTGGCAGTGTTTGTGGAGGAATATTGCTAGTTGGTGGGCTTTACTTGGTCCTATGGGGAAAGAATACAGAAGCAGAGAGGGAAGTAAATAAAGATCAAATACTGGAAACCAAGGATGGTACCACAGTAATTTGATAGGACAGTATTATTTTTTTTACACTTATTATCCTATGGTCACTAACAAGCATGGACTGTCCAATATTTCCTAGCAAATTAAATAGATTTGGTTCTTATACAAAGTTTCAGTGCTCTCCAGTCTGATCATGAGCTACTCCTCCGTTTCATATTAAATGAGTTAGTTTGACTCGACACGGAGTTTAAGAAAAAAGAAGAAGACTTTTGAAACTTGTGTGGCTATAAAAGCTTCTCATTAAAGGTAAATGGGTAAAATGAAAGAGTTTAAAGTTGAATTATTTCCAAATTTAGAAATATGTCATTTGTTTTGGAACAGATTAAAAGGGAAGTACCTCATTTAATATGAAACGGAGGGAGTACTTCAAAGAAAAAACATAAAAGTGAAGTCTTACAAATCTTACTTTGTAAATTAAAGTTGGTGCCATGTGATCAGGAGGCCACGCGTTCAAGCCGTGGAAACAGCCTCTTGCATAAATGCAGGGTAAGGCTCTGTACAATAGACCCTTGTGGTCCGGCTCTTCCCCGGATCCCGCACATAGCAGGAGCTTAGCCTTTTTTACAAATCTTACTTCGATCATAGATACCACTTTGTCGTCCATGAATTCCAGTAGAGTTTTAACTTATATACAATTGTCTCAATGGATCATTCATATACTATTTTAGGTCAATAAAAGGTAACTAGTCTATAAGTTGTAAGTAATTGTCTATTGAAACGTGGACAAACAATATGAAGGATAAGGTATGTGACATGTTATAACAGATTAAATCATCTTGATAGTATGCTTTTTTTTCTTTTTACCCAATTAGTTAGTATATAAGTACTCCCTCCGTTCACTTTTAATTGTCAAGTATTCTAAAAATAAATTTATATTTTTACTTGTCGCTTTTCGCATATGAAGAGAAAAATAATTTATTTTTCCTGTTTTGTCCTTAACATTAGTTACTCATTCCAAATCATTTTCCAAATCCATTAAGACTATACACCAAATAATATGGATATCATGATAAATTATGTACTTTATTTATTATTTCTTAAAATTAAGATGTGCAAAATCAATTATGGACACATAAAAGGGAACAGAGGAAGTATAAATTAATTCTTCTTGTACCCCCCCCNAATTTCTTAAATTAAAAATAACCGATAGATATGATATATACTATACATATAATCAATGTATAATATTGTATAACTGTATATAATTAATGTATAATTTATATACCAGCTAAAATAGTAAACATTAAATCTGATCGGCTATTTTGTGTAACAATCCCAAGATTAATACTCTCACAATAGGAATGAAAGCAGATACAGGACAATAAAGATTCTAATAAAATTGCATCTAAACAGAAACTCAAGAACCTGATGCACATAAATGAGTTAATTGGTATTTCATCTAATCGAAGGAGAACATAATAATTCAGGCACTATAACTGAGCAATGTCTACTAATGCATCAGTAGTTAAGCGGCTCCGAAACCAAAATATGTGCTAAAAAACATAATGAACAATTGTACATATAGAGCATAAAATACATGTACTATATGTTAACGGGTCAAGTACCCCGTTAACGTATATCACATCTATTTCATGAGCTATACCCCTAAACCTTTTCTCACTTTTTAATGATGCTTGGATCTGATCTCCCCGCTGTAAAGCCTGCCATTAAAATTAAATTAAATCACACTTCAGCCAAATTGGCTATAGTCATTAAAAAGAAGGATTTATCATTTAAAGTAATCAAATTCAATTATTAGTAAAAGAAAAAAGGTAATGTAGTATTGAATTACACTTTCTTAAAGTTAGCTTCCATTAATTTCAACGATGACAGTTATTTCAATTGTTGCATGATGGACATGATTTGAGTGAGAAAAAATGTTAATTTAATAGCAAAATTGTTAATCATTACTCACTTCATTCTATTTTAGTTGATCTTTTGGCTTTTTTTTGGTACACAATATATAATTTTTTTCAAATATCAAGAAGGGATTAATTTTTTTTAAAGTTGCGTAAAAAGTCCCAAAGTATCTGTTATATTTTAAATGAACAAATTAAATATATAGTAAAGGTCAGGAAAAACTATCTTTTTGTTCTAAAATCTCCGATTTAATTTTGCTCGCTATTTCCGGTTTGTAGATACAATAATATTTTTTATAATCTAATGGTTTAAATTCACTGATCCGCCTTTGTAAGGTGTCCACTCAAAACTTAAGTTACTATCATTGACACACTCGAAAATTTGTTTTGCACATGGTTTTCTTTTTCTACAATAGCGCATGAAATATATGCATTTGGCCATTATATTATTTCGTGCGTTATATGTACAGTTGTTGCCCTTTTTTTAGTACCTATTCTCTGGTCTTTTGAGTTTAATTTATTGTTATTTAGGTTCCGGTCTAGAATTCTTGTAATGTATTTTCCTATATGTTAATTTTAGTCCAAGAAAGTTAAGAAATGGAAGTACTCTCCTTAGGAACGTAACTCCACCGTTGACGGAAGAAGTGCATTATCAATGATTGTCTTTTCTTTCTTAATTAGTTTTGAGCACTCTATATAATATTGTTTCTATGCATTAGCAAATCTAGCTGATTGTAGGTACAATTGCACACATTTTTCAGCTTAAATCATATGCTTATAAGTGTGTGCGTGTGTGAGAGAAAGAATTATATAACGGAAATGGCCTAAAAATGCCACTCAACTTACAAAAATGGCCTATTGATGTCATCCATTAAAAGCTTGCTATTTTCATGCTATTACCATTATACATTTGGCCCATTTATGCCATTATTTGACTAACGCCTGATTTTTTTAAAAAATATTTATAAGACCCACATTTCCACGTGTCCTGTCATTATTGGTCAGGCTTAACCCATACCCTACATAATTTTAAGGCTGAATGCATACACACACCCTTAAACTTGTCCCTTTTTTCCACCTAGACACTTAAACTCATCCCATGACCTTTTGAGCACTCAATCTCTATTTAGATTGTGCCAATTAGACACAGGAAGCTGACATGGTACAAAAGGTGAATCTCAACTATTTTGAGCGCGTGTACAATGAAAAGAGAGCTAAAATAATCTTCTTCTTCTTCTTCACATTGAAGCCAAACGCACTTTAAACTTGCTTAAGCTCCTTTTATTCACCGAAACAAATACACAATAGAAACCCAACACAAAGTTTTATAGAGAACTTTACAAACACCCAACAAATAAAGAAAGAAAAATGCATACCCAGCTACGAGAAGAAGAAAAGAAAAATGCATACCCACCTTCTAGAAGAAGAAATTTCAACTCATCCCAGTATTTAATTTTCGTTTTACTTTTATAATTATTGAAGAATTTTTTGTTATTCTCTGTGGAGCTAGTGAGGTGAGGTAGTTGGTTTATTCCAAAATATGACTCTTACTTTCATTTAACAGTGTCTAAGGGGCCGGGTCAACCCGTTTCCGGACCGGCCCAGACCGGTTGAAATCGGAACCGGCCCAGACCGGTACAAAGGGGGTGGGTGGGCTNAGAATCGGTTAATCGGCCCGAACTGGATCGGCCCGGCTCGGACCGGCCCAGACCGGATCGGCCCGACCCAGATTGGTATAACGGCTACTTTCAATTTTTTATTTTTTTAATGTTTCTACTTTTTGACCGTTGGCCCAACGGTTGTTTTGCACATTTAGCCCTTTTTGGGCCATTTTTTTAAAATTTAACACTTTTGTAATTACTAATTTAGCCCTTTGAAAAAATAAAAATACACCCCTCGCTTCTTCATTTCTTCACTCATCTCTCATTTCTCAAACTCAAATTCTCAATTCAAGTTAAATCATGCCCCGTAAGGAAGCATATGAAGAGTTGTCTTGAGCGTCCTCGAGAAATTCGTATTTAAGTTGATTTGAGACAATTTGTGTTATTTTAAAATTATTAGACGTATTTATGCTTAATGTTTTAGTTTATTAGATTAATTTGAAGTATTATTATGCATGAAAATTTAGTTTTACTCTTTTGCGTTAATTTACTTGTTAAATGCAAACTTCAATTTGTAATTTTAAAATAAATGCAGCACTTGCAATTTATAAGTACAATTTTTCCCATCTTTATTGTATTCTTTATATTTTTACTTTATATTATTATAACTTACAATAGTTATACAAAAGAAAATTACACTAACCCAGCCCTGCCCGGGCCCTTGTACCTGTAACCCTTACGGTTCATTTTTTTACCCAGATGAACCAGAACCCGTTAAGCTCGGTAACCACTAACCCATAACAGGCCTGGTTCGTAACCCGTACGGTTCCAACATTTACCTACCCACCCCGACCCGGCCCACCCGTTAGACACCCTTACTTTCATTATGATAGACCCAAAAACTTTTTTCTTAATTAGCTGTTACATATTCCATAATAAATTTGGTATTCTTCATCGAGTAAAAAAATGAGATATTGTCCAGAAATCTATAAAACTTCGCCATAAGAGGAATGAGATCGGCGAAGATGACCCCCATATGGTCTAACACAAGAAGTTCTTAAGAAAGAAAAGAAGCTTGTGTGGGGAAGAAGACCAATAAAAAGAGAGAAAAAAGCTATTGTAAACTAACAGAAGAAAGCCATAAATTAATGGAGATAATTTTCTATGGAAGAAGAAGATGTACGTGGGGAATATATTATTTTTCTATTTTAATGCTCAAAAGTTAAAAGGAGCCACATGTTCAATTTGCATTTACTTGTTAACGCATCAACCCGAAAGTGAGCTACACGCATCTTGTTTTCTCGACTGTTCCAACTTGTTGTGTCTAATTGGCACAATCAAAATAGAGATTCAGTGCTCAATAGGTCATGAATGAGTTTAAGTGTCTAGGTGGAAAAAAGGGACAAGTTTAGGGGTCTGTATATGTATTCCGCCTAATTTTAACCTTGGTTAGGTATTTCCCTCACACCCATTACTCCAAAACCTTCAAATCTTGACTCTGTTGCGACCACTATCAGCACCACCACTCAACAAGCTTCACCGGTAAGTCTTCATTGAACTAGCATTCCAACACTTCAATTGCAGCTAAAAAATGAAACTTTCAAGGAAGTGGTATTGATTACGAGTATTTTACTCAGATTCTTGCAAGAAATGACTGGTATTTATTGCTAAACCATGAGTATAAAGCCAAGAGGGTTGCTTCGAATCAACAAGCAGTTGTTAGTATTTTGCATA